AGGAAGCACTGTAGTGTTGAAATTTTGAGAACGATTTATAGTTTTTTTGGATGTTACATGATGGATATACATCACGAAAATCCATATCATTTCATTTCCGCCAGTGTATCTGTTGGACTGTCCATACCGTCGTCCATAACAGTGAATACTATGGCGAAATAAGTGTCCGCAGTATCAAAAACTATTTAACTCCTTATAAAAGCATACAGGGTGTTTCAGTTTATTGTTGCGTAACTTTAAGATCCGATAGAACTTTTAAAATTAATGCATAAAGTCAAACATGGGTCGAAAAATGCGTGGTTTCCGAAATACAGGGTGTTTAAATTTACTTTTAAAAATAGTTTTTTTTTTAAATATTTCGAACAATATTTGATGTATAACAGTGAGAATTGGTATACAAGGGCTTTTTGGTACGACAAAACGAACCATGGGCATAGTTTTACTGTAGCCGCTAGAGGGCGCTCTCTACTGTACCTGTAGTGTATTAAAATGACCTATAATTTTTTCTTAGTGCAATTTTTTGCTTTTTGAATAAAAAAACTGATTCTTCGCACTTTTCAACATAAAAAAGCTCTCTTGTGAATTTTCGTTATAGTTAGCCGTTTTTGAGATATTTCGATTTTTAAGGTTCGATGCATTTTTAATTATTTATGATAAAATAACGTTAGAAAGTCAGTATCTCGATAATTTTTAGAATTAGAAGTGCCTGCAAATATTTTTGAAATTGAAAGCAGAGTAAGGTTAAACGTCAATTAGTTGCCAGTTAGTTTTGTTGTCTGTTGAAACCGGAAACGTTTTTTTGCAATTGTGAATGCACGAAATTTAGTTTCTTTTACCTGTTTTTTTTTGTAAGTTTTATAAAAATGCCATTTTTATTTCCCAATCAAGAGTTAGCGGATATTCATTTTGTTTATGGCTTTGCAAATCGAAACGCAGCAGAAGCAGCCAGAGAATACTCACGAAGATTTCCAAACAGACGACATCCAACTCGCTCAGTATTTGTAAGAGTGCATCGCCAAATAATTGAAAATGGTTTTGGAAACCTCCAAAGGGATCAAAACATAAATGTTCGTCAGCGCAGATGTACCCGTATGATTCTGCGTGAGTTTGATAGAGATCCGACCACAAGTGTTAGGAGAGTTTGTGGTGCCTTGGGAATTTCAGTAAGCCATGTTCACCGTGTTCTTAGAAATGACCATTTGCAACCTGTGCAAGGACTACACCCAGGGGACGGAGAACGAAGAATCACATTTTGTCAGTGGATTCTTGATAGAACTGATAATAATAGGGAGTTTTTAAGTAACGTTTTATGGACCGATGAGTCGTGCTTCACTAGACGTGGAGTGGTAAATTTTCATAATCAACATATTTGGTCGCATGAAAATCCGCATGCAGTTCGGGAAAGAAATTTTCAGCATGAATTTAGTGTGAACGTGTGGATTGGTATCTACCGTAATCGACTATTTGGACCCTACCTTTTGCCTGCAAGGTTAAATGCTGCGACCTTCTTGGAATTTTTAAAGGCTGAACATGCAAATATGTGGGATGATGTTATGTTAGATTTAAGAAGATTGGCCTGGTTCCAGCTTGATGGTTGTCCAGCTCACTATTCGAGAATACTTAGAAACTGGCTGGACGAAAATTATCCAGAAAGATGGATCGGCCGTGGAGGACTAGTCGCCAGACCTCCACGATTCCCTGACCTAAATCCATTAGATTTCTTTGTGTGTGGATTTCTAAAAGAAAAAGTGTACCAGACTCCCGTAACCACAAGAGATATGCTAATAGACAGAATCAGGAGTGCATGTGATGTAATAAGGCCTTATTTGAATAATGCTTATACCACGTTCGATCATTCGTAGATGTGAATTGTGTATTGAACAATTGGATTTACATTTCGAGCAACTACTTTAGATTTTTCATGTTTGTCCTAACTATCCAATAGCATTTTAGTTGTAAATAATTAATTTAATTTGTTAAAAATAATATTTTAAAATTAAACAAATTAATATTCTGCTTTTTTGCGTTTATTTGGGATTAGGAATTAATTATTGCTGTGTTTAAAAACGATTATCTTAATTACGTGTAATGCCCAAATCGAAAATGTAAAAAAAATATTATTTTCCCATAAATAATTAAAAATTCATCGACCCTTAAAAATCGAAATATCTCAAAAACGGCTAACTATAACGAAAACTCACATGAGAGCTTTTCTATGCAGAAAAGTGTGGAGAATCAGTTTTTTTTATTCAAAGAGCAAAAAATTGCACTAAGAAAAATTTGTCGGTCATTTTAATATACTACAGGTACAATAGAGAGCGCCCTTTAGCGGCTATAGTAAGACTATGCCCATGGTTCGTTTTGTTGTACCAAAAAACCCTTGTATACCAATTTTCACTGTTGTACATCAAATATTGTTCGAAATATTTAAAAAAAACTATTTTAAAAAGTAAATTTAAGCACCCTGTATTCCGGAAGCCACGCATTTTTCGATCCATGTTTATATATACTTTATGCATTAATTTTAAAAGTTCTATCGAATCTTAAAGTTATGCAACAATAAACTGAATTACCCTGTATAATGGTAGCACAAACAAAAGATTAACTCAAATAATAATGATATAATAATATCTGTTAAAGATAAACAAAATAATAATGAGTATTTCTATTAGTATAAAAAAACTGTATTCGTGTTGCAGGTGGATAGTTTTGTAAAATATTGTTAGCGGTTCTTTTTTTAACCTTTATTTATATAAATTCTAGCCATTTTATAGGCCCCGGTATCTGAAGTTCTTATAGACAAAACTCTCAACTTTTGAGACATTTTTTTGAAGTCTTGAAAGTCGTTGTGTTGAAGTTCGTACGGCTGAATACGTCTTGCCAGGCGAATAACTGGAGGCAGTTGGGCAGGTATAAGACTTGCACATACTTAGGCTGCGCGGGTTCGAATCCCGTCCCAAGAGAAATTTTATTGTTCTCATGGCTGTGGATGCTGTGATTGTCCGTAGGCGGTAGATGGTCTCTGACTATCAAACGCGGACGAACCACCCGGTGGATCTCGTAGGCGGGGTTAGAATGTGTGCATGTGGTATGCATACGTGTTCCCTCACCGAAGTCCCCCCTTTACCCCTGTATCCCCCTATAGCCCCACGGTACCCCATGGGTGCTTAGGTAGTATTTGGAGTACAAGAAAATGCTGTAAAGACGGTACTGTGGGCAGAATCTGCTTCATTTTAACCATGCATTGCATCAAATAGAATAATATTTACTATATTCAAAGTTTAGCTACATCATATAAAAGCACGGTCACAATAATGGAATTCTTATTCTGTCCACTGTATCCATCCGAAAATAGAGCAATGGATCTATAAACTTAGAGTCGTAAATTTGAAAAACCCTAGAACTTATTTCAAATGCCCCTCTTTTGCTCTCTAGTTCATTCTAAAGAAAGCAGTGGTATTCCTTTGAAGAAATATAGTGCACCGTCAAATTATATTTTTTTATGAGACCGCACTTTCATTTGACGACCGGTGACTTCTTTTTGATCAAAACTTGCACATACAATTCCATTATTATTATTATTATTCAGAGCTTGCACTCTATAGAACTTTTTATTACCCTTTGTTTTTCTCGTCGTAATACTTTTGATAAGTAAGATAAATACATTCACCAACTTTTATTAAAATAAAACCATTTAAACTGGGTGTTCGGATTTATATGTCACTTAGTATAGGTTCGACTTAAGCAAAAGTATTGATAATTCTCATGTCCAGTCATTTGCAGACGATACGCAATTGCTTCATTATTTTAACCCAGATAATGTCAATAATACTACTCAAATTTTACAAAACGATGTTAATAAATTAATTAAATACCCTTTAGATCACAATCTACTTATTAATCCACCAAAATCTAAAATGTTATTATTTTGCGCACAAAGAAAAACATACAATGTAACACAGCACTTGAACATTCAGATAAATAACCAAATCTTGCAATTTTCTGATTCTGCAAAAATTCTTGGTGTTGTTTTTGATACAAAATTAAGGTTTATTGAACACGTTAAAAGTCTATCTCAGAAAACCTACCTACGACTGCGCATTCTTATATCAAACAGGTATTTACTAAATTTTAAGTTGCGTAAAAAACTATGTGAAGCATTGGTCATATCTATACTAAATTATTGTAATATCGTATACTATACTTGTTTAGACAATTTCACTAAAAACGTTATTCAAGTTATTCAAAACAATTGTATACAATTCATTTTTGGCTTACGTAAATTTGATCATGTATCAGCGAAATATCCCGTTCTAAACTGGTTAAAATTAATGACATGGTCAAGTATCACTATTCAGTTTTTGTTCACAAATTCCTGCTCACGTCAAAACCTTATTACTTGAAGGAAAAAATTTCATTTAATAATAATGTTCACTGTATAACTCTCAGAGAAAATAATATTAGAATACCACTGCATACGTCTACACTTTTTAAACGCAGTTTTTCTTACAATGTTGCTATTATTTATAATGACCTTCCTAAAGTATATAAAGAATTTTCATTACCTGTCTTTCGACAAAAAATTAAAACATTATTACTCAACCCTCCAAACATATAATTTACGTAATCATTCATTTCTTTTTTATTCCATCTTTAATTCAGATTAATAATTTTTTGGTGCATTTATGTTTGGAAAGTATGCCTTTTTCTCTTTTTTTAAATTTTACTTTCGATGGAACGAACCAAATCTGTTTGTGGATAGTGTATTCTTTTGAACATCTGCTAGAGACTATATGGTTAAGTGTAAGAGTAGCAGCATGCTAAACTTCGCCATGTAAGTCTGACATTTGGCTATACTACAATGTAATTGTGGATAAATAAAGACGTCTATTATTATTATTATTAATTTCATGGTTTCATTTATTCACACTTTAGGCTATATATTGGAGTAAAAAGATTGGAACAAAAATAGTACAAGCTACCCAAATTATGGCTTGTATTGTTTAATTATGGTTTTGCACCCCATCTTTTCAACTTTCAATATTTAAGACTATCGTTTAAAAATAAACTATAATGTTGTTAAAATACATTGTTAAAATTTAATAATACAATATGATAATTCAATATAATCTGTCATCATTGCTACATGTTAATAGACAATTATTTATAAGGCCTCTAAGATTCTTCGTGATGTGAGTCGATTCGGAGTCCTTGTACATTGTTAGCATTATAGTCTTAGTGGTGGTTTAAAATGAGTGATCGTACTGTTTCAGTTGTAACATCACTTTTTTCTCCAGTGAACTTATTGGGAAACTGGCGGAGAAGCATAGGATGCTGTAGTAGCATTTAGCATTCTGAAATATATCATAAAAGTTATACTCAGTTCAATTCAAACTTGCACAGTCTGCAAAAAGTTGAAACCCTACTGTATTCATAGAGCGCGTTCAGTCAACGTAAAACCATCTATTGGTGCAGCGCTTTTATTTATTCATTTATTTATACACTACTCAATGGTAACAGCCATTTACAGAGTAGATCGTAGTCCGGAATACAAAAAAAAAACATAATTTTTTCATAATACAAGCAAGAGTAGGTAGTACACAAAGATGCTATTTATAAATATCATAGTGCCGATAAGAAAGCAAAAAACAGACAAATCCTCAAAGAAATATATCCAATTGTTCTGCAACGTAATTAGCCCTACCACAAGGGTAAAATAGTGGAGAAAACTTCAAGACGTTTTTTCTATGGGTAGGCAAATAAAAAGTATCAGATTGTCTAGAATTTAAACTTCGAACAAAAAAATTGATTTTACTTACTTTGTTAGTCAAGTTTATCTATACAAAAGTTATAGAAAGGCTGCCAAATAACTGATGCATATTCAAGCCTTGAATGAACAAGTATCATAAAGCCCAATCTTTTGTAACACAATACTTGCCCCCATATGGCTATCGAAGCAGTATTCACTATTAAAAATGACACTTAAATCCTTGACTTCGCTTAAGCGATTGGGAGGCACACCAGCAATATCATAATCAAATACGATTGCTTGAGCTTTGTTGGTATAACTGACAACATTACACTTCGCTGCATTTAAAGGTAAGCTATTTTTATGACAGCAGCAGTCAAGCTTGTTGGTATCATCTTGTAACTTTCCACAATCATCAAGAGACCGAATGGGACAAGGAAGCTTGAGACCGTCAGCATATAGGAGAAGCTTGACATCTAATTGAATGTACTATATCATTTATAAACATAATGAAAAATATTGGCCCCAGGGTAGACCCTTGAGGGACACCATGCGTAGTTTTGTCATGGGGCAGCTTTGTCAGTTTGATAGCTGTTTTCACTTGGTCGTCAGATTTGACAGTTTGTCAATTTAGGACCGTATCGTCAGTCGTTCCTAGAATTGTAGGACGCCTTTATGAGTTCCTTGATTTTAATAGTACTCTACTGCTCCGTGTCCGTGCTCTACTTTGAGGTTATGTTACAAATACTTATTTGCACCAAATTGTTTTTGCCTTTGACTTGTATCATCTTTTATATCAACCTGAAATTTCTTACGATTCAAAAAGAAAACACAGCCGCACAATAGGAGAGTGCTGTCGCTGATACGGAGCAACAGAAATCTAGAAATACACGAGCCTTCCTGAAAACCAAGGAAAATCAAATCAGTTGAAAGAACTCTAAATTAATGTTGCGTACCCTCAAAGCTATTCCTCGACTACCACCATTGAGCATGAAAGCTGGCCTGCTTGACGTTGACTGAACGAGCTCATTGTGAACGGTACTTACACTAATTAAATAGCTGTAGTTGAGGTGTACTAGCCCAAAGCAATTGAACGACTTTGCCTTGAAATTTGTCAATATGAACAGGAGCATTTTTCTGTTCCTTGTATTCCAGTAATGCCAAGGACACTCGCAGAACTTTTCGTAATATTCTGTGGACTAAAATAGACATGCGATGTTATTTTGCAAATTTTTAATCTAGTGCTGAAGAGGGTTCCAGTCAACTTTTTAAGGAGTAGATGGGAAAAGTCAACAATATCTATTTGTTACGGATACTTACTGCATCGGTAAGCTGTTGTCCAACACTTACAAACATAACCAGCCCATATATCATTAATGCCAGAAGAATGTATACCTTACTTTTATGAGGTGGAGTCACATTCTGAAAAATTGAAAGATGTTGGTAGTATTATTATACAATTCCTTGTAGTATTGCTAAAATTGTTATAGCAAGATATAGCTCATGTCGAATAAACTACACTGACTTACCCCAATAACTCCGTATAATACAAAAAGTAGGAACGAAAAAGCGCATATTGTTGTTACCAGCATGAACGTATTTTGAATAGGGGCGAGCGTCTTCCAAACCCTGAAATACAGTGGTTGTTAAATATACTAGAAGGATTCGCACTGGTCAACCTGTTTTTTTAATACAAAATGTAAGTACGTATTACAATTGAATGTCGTATTCAAAAAGATGATGTATTTAGACATTCTCTTACATTTTATATCGTCACAGCCGTGTTGCTAAGCCGGATCGCATAAATCCCTTAGAAATAAAATGCTCCATTTTCATTTAAAGGAAAATGTATTTTTAGGCAAGCATGACATTAACCTTCCAAGGATTGATTTTACAGAAAAAACAATATTAAATGATATAAGTAAAAGGCATAAGGGTGCATTAATTTTTTCTATAGTGCTTTAATAATTTAACTCTACCAACTAATAATCGTCCATGCCGTTAAATGAAATACTCTTTTACGTTTTGGTCATAACGGTGTCCTTTTTCAAGTACAATCGACAATCCGTATATATATATACAGGGTGACTTTGAAGTTGAGTCATTAATTTTCAGATAATGATTGTAGAAGGAAGATAAACCAAAATATGTGTGTAAAAATTAAAAAAAAATAAAAAAAAAATGTTACCTTGTTTAATAAAGTATCCTCCCGACAAGTATTTCAGTGCGGACCTGTATTTGATCGTGCGGTCTTGGAGCAGCATGCCCTCACCTGTGAGGTCTTAAGTCACCTGATTCACGAGCCCTTTGTACTACATTAACGAAGGCACGAGGGGTTGGATGCACTCGATTGGGAAACCGATTCGCATAAATCCGTGATGCATCCGGGAGCATTTTGTAAAGACTGCCCCCCCGTAAATAAGAATCATGTCCACAAGTTCAGCATTTTCGTAAACATGTGCCATTTTTGATTTCGTTTGAGCCACGCAACACACTACTATTCACTAACGCGTTATCGACTGACGAAAAACATCGTGATAAACGTTTCAAATTCTTTCGCTTTTTTGTTTCCGATGCGATGAACCGGTCAGGCGGATTATATCCGTTGTCGCCAAACACGAGCATATAATAGGCAGGGCGGTACTCAAACTTCCAAAGGGCTATAACTTTGTTACTTTAATTTTACCAGAAAAATGGTAAAGGAAAAAACATTTCTTTTGATCAGATCTACTCACTGTTAAAATAAATGACTCAACTTCGAAGTCACCCTGTATACAGGGTGTTCCATAATTATTGCGACAAAATGATAGGGGTTGTAGAGGGCATCACAATGAACAATTTTGCCTTATAAACCCCTGTTCGGAAATATGCCGTTTGGGATGCAGCAAAAAAAAAGATCAGTTTCTTGAAACAGCTTACCTACAGTAATTGCTCAAAGTGTCCTCCATCTTGCTCAATACACAGCTGTGCACGATTGTTCAATGATCGGCGAACTCTGTGGCATACCCCCGGTATGTCCTGAACATGTGCGGACGCGGCCATCGCTCTTCCCAGTAGCTCTTGTTGGTTGGGAACAGTAGTTTCGTACACTAAAGCTTTCAGATGGCCCCAGAGAAAATAATCCAGTGGGGTCAGGTCGGGTGACCGCGCAGGCCAAGGCACAGGGCCACCTCGGCCTATCCACCTATTTGTCGTCCAAATACTGCCGCACTTGTAAAGAAAAGTGAGCTGGAGCGCCATCGTGTTGAAACCACGTGTTGGCTCTTATGTTCAGTGGCACAATTTCTAATAGTTCCGGTAGCACATGCTGTAAGAATCGACCATAAGCATGCCCATCCAAACGTGGTGGAAGCAAATATGGCCCGATGATATGCTCGTCCACAATGCCGCACCAGATGTTAATTGAAAACTATGTTGGTCTCTATGGATGGCTATGTCATGAGGGTTTTCTTCATCCCAAATGTGACTGTTACGGCTATTAAAATAAACGTCCTTTGTGAAACAGGACTCGTCAGTGAACAAAACGTAGCGACCAAAGTTTGGTTGCCTCAACTCGTGCTGCAGCCGCCAACGACCCATGGCTTGGACTTTTAAAAGGTGGTATGGGTGTAGTTGCTGATCATGGAGAACCCGCCAAGCAGTAGTTTGAGACGCTCCCATTTCATGTGCAATAGCACGCACGCTTGTACGCGGATTGGCCTCTAGTTTGACGCACCACTCAGATAAATTAAATGAATCGGTGTGGAGAATTTACGATAACAAAAATGTAAACACAGCAGGCTTTTTTTTACAAATCGGCGAGACCATGAAATGTGCTAGACGAACATTTTGCAGCTGTTGAATTTTTTGTTTCTCTTAAGGTAAAATTAGCGGTAGTGCTCAAACGGCATATTTACGAACAGCGGTTTATAAGGCAAAATTGCATATTTTATGCCCTCTACAACCCCTATCATTTTGTCGCAATAATTATGGAACACCCTGTATATATATGTTACAGCTAAAACCGGAAATGGAATGGCAATTAGGTTTAGCTGGTTAGAACTAGGTAGGTTTAGACGGGTATTTTTAAAGGAAATATGTTATCATATATCCATATTATTTATTTCAGCAATAAATTTCTTAAACATAACCTAGCCATACCTTGGCACTGTCATCACAGGTAAGTAACAGCAATAATAAAAAAATATTGTAGTAAGTATTCTAGTGTGGCAAGGTCTGAAGATTGTGCATGGGAAGTCGCGCCACAGTCAGTCACAAGGTTACGTAGAACGTGTCAATTAAAAAATGCTCATGGTGTGGATGAGCGATGAAAATTGTCAAAAATGGTCTTAACCCTCCAATAGGCGCGTGGATTACAACTGTAATCCACACCGCTTTGGGAAGTGACCAACGAGAAATCAGCGCGCAGTTAGAATCGCCCGCTTGAGTAGCTGTCGGTAGCAGATGTAGGTATCCTATGTAGGCTCCTTAGTATCGAATAGTCAAGTGAGAAGTGCGTTTGAGCAGATTAACAAGGGCAAACCGCGGCTGGATTACGAGTGTACTCCACGCGCCTATTTACGTTGCGGTTTTTGTAGATCGCATAGTTTCGAGTTTTTGCCGTTTGGTACTTTCGGTAAGTTTTTCACTGTAAAGTATTGTATGAATTGGTAAACTTCAGACTGTCTTTTTTGGGTATCCTATTTTACTTAATTTTTAACAAAACCAATATTCTTTGTTCAACCGGAATTCTAAAAACTATATAATATATCATTTCAGATACAAAAAATGTCCGAATTCAAAAAACCTCGATTGGAAAGTAGTACAGATCCAAAGATGTGGATGAAATGGTACGAGGAGCTTTCAAGTGAAGAGGAATGTGATTTAGATGAAGAAGATGAAGACGAGATAGAAGAAGATTTTGTAGAGAAGAGCGATCATCAATCAGAATCCGAGCAAGACATTTCTTCAGATGAAGATCAGGGCATACCAGACCAAGACACAGCAGCTGTGGAAGAAAATAAGTGTGGAGGTTATTATCTTGGCAAAGATAAAATAACCAAGTGGAAAAAAAGTAGGTCAAATTTACAAGTACGTGTTCGATCTCATAACATTATAAAGTTACTTCCTGGGCCAAAAGGCAGTGCTCGTGATGCAGTATCAGAAATTGACTGTATAAAACTTTTTATAACTGATAGTGTTATTCGAATGATAACCAGCTCGACAAATAGGTATATTGAAAAAATCAAAAACAAATTTCAAAGGGATCGAGATGTCAGATTAACAGACGAAAGAGAAATTAGTGCATTTATTGGCATTTTGTTTCTTATTGGGACGTTAAGAAGTTCCATAAAAAATGCTCACAAGATATGGAATAACTCAAAAGGCAGTGGGATAGAAGCATGCTATTTGGCAATGAGCGAAAAGCGGTTTAGATTTATTTTAAGATGTTTGAGGTTTGATGATATCACAACGAGAAATGAAAGACGAGAAATTGATAAGTTTGCACCTATAAGAGAAGTTTTTGAAACATTCTTAGCTACATTCCAGAAAAACTTTATTTCAAGTGAATTCTTGACAATAGATGAACAGTTACTGGCTTTTAGGGGCCGATGTTCATTTAGACAGTATATGCCTAGAAAACCAGCTAGGTATGGAGTAAAGATGTTCGCATTAGTGGATGCTAAAACTTCATATACATTTAATCTTGAGCCATATCTGGGAGCTCAGCCTGAAGGACCATATAAGTTGAGTAACTCTCCAAATGATCTTGTTCTGCGATTAGTGCAACCCGTAGAAGGAACAAACCGTAACATAACAGGCGATAATTGGTTTACCAGCGTACCACTGGCAATTAAGTTATTGGAGAAAAAACTAACGTACGTGGGCACTATGCGAAAGAATAAGCGGGAGATACCAACAGAATTCTTGCCAACAAAGAACAGGGAAGAAAAAACCTCGATATTTGGTTTTCGGGAAGACCTCACAATGGCTTCATATTGCCCAAAGAAAAATAAGGCAGTAATAGTCATTTCTTCAATGCACCATGATAGTTCTATCGATCCAGAAAGTGGTGAAAATAGATTGCCGGAAATAATAACATGCTACAATCAAACGAAGGTAGGAGTAGATTTAGTAGATCAGATGAGTGACAATTATAATGTAGCTAGAACAACGAATCGATGGCCAATGGTTGTATTTTATGACTTATTGAATATATCTGGAATAAACGCTTGCTGTGTTTATAAAGCAAATCACCCTAACGAGAAAGTCCTAAGATCTGACTTTATTGAAAAATTTGCTTGGGAACTAATAAAACCTCAAATAGAACACAGGTCAACTATTTCTGTTATACCAAGAGAAATCCGCCGTCGAGCTCGCCACCTGCTGGGACTGGAAGAGGTATTACCTCCTCCACCACCACCTGATATGCCAGGAAGTTGCATACGTCGCTGCTACATTTGCACGAGAAGTCGTAACAAATCAACAAGAAAAATTTGCCACAAATGTAGCAGACATGCATGCAAGGAACATATGGTGGAAGTGTGTACGTCTTGTTTGTCAATGTAAAAAGTAGCAAATATTTGTCATGCTATTTTTCGTTTTGTATATTCTATAATTTGTTATTATTTCATTTATTCAAGTTGACA